CTGTATCATCTGCAAACTTTACAATGTGACAGCCTGGATGAGTAGGTGAACGGTCATACGTGAGCAGAGTGAACAGCATAGGGCCCAACTTGGCCGAACAACTCCGGTAATGCAACGTCTAAAAAGTATCTCCGACTTGGCATATTATATTGTGGGCTCGAGTGCTGCATCAAGTTTCTGAAACCTTGGTCCGCAGTAACTGGTCGTCCAATGCCATGAACTCCATAACTTTCTTCGTAGTGGTTTTGCTCTTTTCGTTGCTCGAAAGAACTAACAGTGTTCCACCAACTGGCTCTTTGTTTCCGCTAGCTTTAGCCTTAGCTTGATTGCTTTCTTCAAATGCTGTATACTCAGCGGCGTGGTGGTTTCTTAAATGGCAAAAGAGGTTTTTAGTATTGAAGGTTTTGGTTGTGGCTCCACCACGACTTATTTATATAAATTGAAAACTGCGATCTTTTGCTTTTCTTCTTTAACTGCATAGTACTTCCAAACTGACGACATGGCTGCTCCGGGAGACCTGTGACTATTGTTAACAACACGTGCAGACGTGACCTGGTGTGTGGGTCTCTTAGTCAGCCCTCTGTCACAGCAGAGCAAAAGGGGACAGTGGCTGATTTTCAGACCTTTGTGGAGGCAGATACGATCGGTGGATAAGATCGGCTTCTCATGTAAGAATTGGCCAATCACCCAAAATTAAGGAAATCAGGCAGATCGATCGGCCGGCCGGGTTATCGGTGCACCCCTATTCACTTGTGTTTTCCACATTTTGATTGAAAATGTTCCGGGATTTGTTTTCATTGCAGTGAACTTTACTTTTTATCCTGTCAGATATCTCGACTAGACTGTAAGGATGTACTGGACATCACATCTAATTTGGAGACGGAGGGCGAGGAGAATACAGCCTTCATCCTGTGCACAACTTACCTAACACAGCAGCTGCAGCAGCAGAGTCTTTACTGCTCCTGGTGAGTAGATCAGCTTGGATTTGTGGTGTTTTCCCATAATTTGCTGTATGACATGACGGTTGTTTCTGGTTGCATTCACGCGCAGCTGGTCATATGGCACCCTTGCCTTGTTTTGCAGTGTTTTGACTGTAATGTTGAAACTGTAAATATTGGCTAGGTCTCAGGAATAATGACCTTCACATAAACGGTAAAAACTGAATCAGCACTAAAAAAAATCACAAGCTCAGATACATTGTCACAACAACCCAACGAAAGAAAAACATAAATTTATGAGGAAATTTGTTTTACTTTTTTTTTTTTGTTGATTAGGAAAAAAAAGGTTTTATACAACTAAAATCACAAATTGTAAATATGAGTTTGTTTATAGCTCATCTTGAGGATGGATCAGTGGTTCTGATCTTCAGTGACTTGAACTGATTTTTGAATTGCTAACTAACTCATTATGTTCCCCCCCAAGGACGTGAGAATCCTTTAGTGTTGAAAAATCTTGGCAAAGTCATTCAAGACGAGTGTTTTTGACAGCCTTTTTATTCTCTTCTGCACTTTACATCAGATATGTGACTGCTAAATGAATATAATGTTATAAAAACATTCACGCATCTATTACTGCAGCTTCAAACAGCTGATTCAGTCCTCAGTGAGATTTTTGTTTGCATGGAAAATAATTGTCTCCCCTACTCTGCTGCCTCCTACCAGCAACGGCTACAATCATAAAACCAACTTGTAGCTACGGATGTTTGCACAACACATCCTTATTTCTTTTTACACAAAATAAGGATAATTAATATAGCTCAAGAAATTCCAGCACAATAACAAACTATTTAAAAGCAACGTAATCATTCTTCATAAGTACTAATCTCTGCTGTCGCTTTGTGATTTTTAGGACTATTGTTTTGATTTTGATTAAAAATGACTGTGTCCTCCTAGTCAGGACTTCCAGAGGATTAAAGTTTACTCTCACCAAGTTCTGAAGCTGAAACCCCTCTGTACCTGAAGCCTCTGCTTCAGAGTTGTGTGCTGCTCCACATTCTGCATGCCAGAGATTTTTACATGGCTTTATTTTCACGTATCTAATATATTCTCGTGAAGCGGGATGCACATATTCTGATAGTAAAGATGATCTGATCCATGGTTGTAGTTTCTACTTTATACAGTAGATCCTCCTTCATCGTGGGGGTTATGTTCCAGCCCCCGCAATAAGTGAAAGTCTGCGAAGTAGGGCCATTATATTTATTTTAGTATTTATATATATATTTTAAGGCTTTGTAAACCCTTCCCACACTGTTGCAATGTTCTAAACTCTTAAACCTACGTAATTTTAACAACATACGTATATGTGCTGTACAGCACTGCAAAATTTACTCACCAGCTCTGCAGAAACAGTGGCTCGGTTCTGGTCGGGCTTGGTTCCGGTACTGCAGACTAGGGCTTAACAGACTACTCGAGTAATCAACAGGTCGATTCCTAGGACATCTATCGAGGTTTTAGATTTCACGTCAAGTATTCACAGTGACGTCATTGTGCCACGTGATCCGCACCGGGCTACTAGTAGAAGCTAGCAAATGGATTCCTCCCAGCAGATAGACTGAGCGGAACAGGCCCAGTCTTGGCAAACAGGTAGAAATGCATCAACAGTCTGGAAATATTTCACTGAAGTTGAATCTTCCGGTTCAACTACCGTAAGGAAACAGGAAATGATTCAACTTCCTGACTGTTTGGAGCTCGTTGCGAACCGGTGTTACACCATTTTCTGTGACCACTGTATGTTGTGACCGTAGGGGGCGGTGTTGCATGCACTGTTGCAGGTCACAGAATATGGTGCAACACCGGGTCCAATCGACCGAACCAGAACCAGCTTCCTCTGACCTTGTTTCACAAACAAAAAGCAAAAAATATTCATCTCTAAACCTATAAAAAACCTATAAACATATTAATCTCTAAAACTAAACCTAATGCGCACCACAGCTGGCGGTGGTGCGGGGTGGTCGTTCGCCCCACGTGACGTGCTGCACGTTTCTTTCACTTTTGCAGCTTAATAATAATGACTAATAGTTTAGTTTTTTCTGAGACTTATTTGCAGTATGATAAATGGTAGGAGCATAATATACGCTCCCAATGTTTTGTTGGTCTTTTTTTTTGTAAATAATAAATGACGTTTTTTTGCGGTTTTATTTTTTATTAATTTTTTCATCTTGAGATCCTATGACGTCATCAACTACTCGAGTTCTATTCGAGTTTTATTATGTTAATGTTGAGTTTTAAAATTATGTAGTTGTTCAACCCCTACTGCAGACCTAACCTGCAGCGACGAAACCCACAATGTTCTAAACTCTTAAACCTATGTAATTTTAACAACATACTTATAGGGAAGTCCACAGGAAGTCCTTCCTCCCTGTGACTATCAAACTTTTCAACTCGTCCCCCTTTCTACACATAGGACAATAAACCTAATCCTGCACCACAATAAACACTTTTTTACTCACCAGCTCCGCGGAAACAGCGGCTCAGTTCCAGTCCGCCAGACCTACTCTGCCGGTTCTGCTCCGGTTCTGGTCGGCTGTCTGTAGCCCTTGAGCACTAAAATGCTTTTGGAGGGAGCCGGACCTTCGGACGCCTAGTGTGGTCCCAATGGAGCCCAAATCTAGATGAAAAAAATCCGGTGGGCTCCAGAAAGAAGGCCGGACCTCGAGCGACGCCTCCCCGCTCAAAAGGCTTCGTAGGCCGGCGGGCAGCTCTCAGATTCACTGATGAGTCCCGAGGTCCGATTCTGGTCAGTTCCATGCGACTCGCTGCATCTGCTGGGTGCCAAAGTCACTGTATGAATAAGGACTGAACTTTTCCGGATTGGATAAAAACTTTCCATCCATTTCAGCAGCAGGCAATGGAGCCTGTGGGTGGGGCTTCTGGGAAATGTAGTCATTTTGAGTGGCGATACAGTATAGGCTTGTTGAGAGAAAACTACAAAATGGCTGTGCCTGTCCAATTTTTTTTCGTTAACATTTTAGTAGTAATAACTTTCATCCAGTCATGGTTTCTAAATTTATTCTAAGGCGGGTCTTGACTCTGTAGATCGTCTTTGTTTTTATACTGAAACATTAATAAAATCTCAAATCCTTCTTCTGCCTTTAAAGTTTCAATTATAAAAACAGAAAAGACAAATTATATTAAAGAAAAATACACAGTTTCATTCATGAACATGCACATAAAATTGAAATGACATTTGAGTCAACCTTAAAATTAACATTCAATGTTTCCTTGTTTTTTCTTCTTCCTTTTTCCTCCCTTCTTGCAATGTTTCCAACAGAGGAGACGCTGTTGGACTGTGGATTTCCTGCAAAGGAAATTCATTCCGAGGATGAACAAAGGACTCTTTTTCTGTTATCTCTATGGGAACGAAACTCCATTTTGTGGCTTAAAATTGATATCAAACATCTGCTTGGTTTGTTTCAACTCAGAAGGTCAGGTGCATAGAAAGGTCTTTCAGGAGTTCATTTTGTCAGGTTAAAGTTATTAGTACCTGTACACAATAACTGTCCTTTTTATGTTGTCCAAACTTGAGTTGTAGAAAGCTAAAAACAAGGAATGTTTTAGGAGATGAGGCAGCATTCACAAGAGGAACTCAAGTCTTACGTATCAGAAAAGTAAAAGTTTTGACAGTGACCACTGATGTAAATAAATTGAATTGTTGTGTTCTTCAGCTAAACATTAATGTGTCAATATTTTTTGTCACTTATTATCCAAAGGGAATTGATGTTGCTGTGGAGTAAACTTCAAAAGAAACTGGACCCCTCGTTGATGTCTCTTCTGGAGCGATGCCTTCAGCTTGGTGCCATTGCCAAAACTGTCCAACATTTACTTTACCTGGTCCGTGTTATTCAGACAGAGGTGAGTCTAAATAACATTGTCATCTTTTGATATTAAATTAAAAAAATCATGTGTTGGCATATTTGACATAAACTGTATGCACTAAGGGACTGCCAGCCCTTATTTACACCCACATTTAGAAACATAATCAGTGATAATATACTGGGTTTTTTTTTAGGCGGAGAACCAGGGGGTACCTGCCTCAGTCGAACTTTGTGTCAAAGCTCTACAACTTCCAAAGCAAGAAGACTCAGAAACGAGAACGTCTGTATGTAAAACAGTGTCCTGCCTTCTTCCAAGTGATCTTGAAGTATTGCGTGCCTGTCAGCTCACAGAGTTCCTCATTGGCTCCAGCCAGGAAGCCTTCACCTGTCTCGAGGAGCTCTACTTACGCCCAGACCAAAAGTATGACCAGGAAAATGAGGTCATTCCCAACTCGCTACGCTGTGAGTTGTTACTAGCACTAAAAGCTTACTGGCCTTTTGACCCTGAATTTTGGGACTGGAAAACTCTTAAGTATCACTGCATATCCCTTCTTGGCTTGAGACCGGAGTCAGAGGAGGAAGATGAAGAGGAGGTAGACAAACAAGAGAAGATTGATCAACAAGAGCTGCAGGGAGCTGCAGTTAAAGTAGAACCTGAGCACCAAAACAGGGTGAATGGAGGACTTGACATTGATGATCATCAAGATAACAAACCGTTCTCTTACTACATCAAGAAAGGAAATGGACTTCAAAGGCCAAAGTTCTGGTGTCAGATATGCAAAAGGTCAATTACAGACATACAAATCATTCACCACTCCAAAATACATATCAAGGAGGACAGTCACCCTTGTCCTGTTTGTTTGGAAAAGTTTAAGGACAGAGAGGACCTTGTTCTCCACATGAGAAAGCACATTCGAAATGAAATCCGTCTTTCAAAAAACGTGATAAAAAAGAAGAATGTACCCAAACAGACAGAAGAGGAGGATGATATTGAACCTGGTGAGATTCCCGTCGACCCATCCTTGATGTTGTATTACAAATGCACACATGATCCTGAGGTGTTGCAGCACATCGTACAGCAAACCAAAACCTTGAAAGAGAAGCATGCAGACGATGATGAGCATGTGACTTTCGATTACATGGACAGACACTTCAAACTGCAGAATCGAGAGGAGTATCCCTGCCCAGGAACCAACTGCACTCGGACTTTTAAACATTCCAAGTACCTTTATGTCCACTTGAAATCAGACCACATAGGTGATGAGAATGTGAAATATTTTCATCAAGTAAGAGACAAGAGACAAAAGTGTGTGTTTTGCAGACGTCATTTTATCTCAGCTTACCATCACCGCAAGCATAGAAAGGTTCACTATGGTGATCGGCCTTACATATGTGTGGTTATAGGTTGTGGTGCACAGTTTAAGACAACTAATGGACTCGTTACTCACAAGCAGACCCATGGCTATCAGCTGAACTACCAGTGTGAGCTCAACGGCTGTTACGTCACGTACGCTGACTTGGGACAGATATATCACCATGAGGCACAGCATTTCAGAGATGCAGCATTTACGTGCTGCAGCAAGGGATGTAAAAAGTTCTACTTATCCAAAAAGGACTTTATAAAACATTTGTCCACACACAAGATAACTTTCACTGAAGATGATTTTGAGGCTCAGAGGAAGGCTAAGCGGAAATTGTTTAAGCCTGTTGTTCGTGAAGTGACCCCTAACCACAATGGGACGGTTAATTCCATAGGCGTTGCAAATGGAGGTGTCTTAAACTCTCAGTCAGTGAGTTGTGTTGCCTCTTCGCAAGAATCTGATGTCAAAGAGGCCAAGGCAACAATAACACTGGTGGCCATGTGCTTTGATGGAAGTAAGTTCACATGTGGCTTTGAGAAGTGTGGCATGACTTTTTCCAGAGCTAGAGATGTCCAGAGACATCTGAAGTGTGCTCACCCAGATCATCTTAAACTGGAGAACAGGGAGCACAAACATGACAAGGAGCAGGAACTCGTGTCAAAAGGGATAAAGACGGAAACTGAGCCAGAGGTTGAGGAAAAGGGGAAAAATGAGACCTCAACTTCGGTTCTACCTGTGGAGCCTGGCAAAGACAATAAGGTGTCCGCTCATTCAAAAGGCAAAGAACCAAACCTTTTAGGCCTTAATACAAAATGTGATGCTCTTAAAGAACTCATTATTGGGCTGAGTAATCTCAGCTTGGACACATCACCTTCTCACAGTTTGCCCATTGAGCACCCTCAGCCCACCCCTGTCTCAAAAACATCACAAATGTCTCTTCATCAAGCGATCATGGCAAAACCTCCTGTTGTATTGCTTAAGAAGAGACCACATCTGTCTGAGGGAAAGATCAAAGTCCAAACTGAGACAACATTGCTTAAGAAGAGACCACAACTGTCTGAGGAAAAGGTCAAAG